CTTCTTGATGAGTGATGTGGGAGGGCCCAGCCCACTGTGGGTGGTGCCACCCCTGGGCAGGTGGGCCTGTGTTGCATAAGAAAGCGGGCTGAGCAGGGGCCAGGGGAACAAGCCAGTAAGCAGCATTCCTCCATGGCCTGTGCTCCAGCTCCTGCTTCCAGGTTCCTGCCCTGAGTTCCTACTTTGGGCTCCCTGATAAACTGTGACCTGGGAGATGGAAGCTGAATAAGCCCTTTCCTCCCTAAGTTGGTAGTGGTCAGAGTGTTTTGTCATAGCAATGAAGAACAAACTAGGGCATTACCCTTAGGAAATACAAGTAAAAGAAATTATTTAAGAGTAATGAAAAAAAGTACAATAAACTATTTTTATAAACTTTAGGAATACAATAGAAACTAGGTGTGGTTGCTTATGTCTTTAATCCCAGCACCTGGCAGGCTGAGGTGGGAAGATTGGGAGTTCAAGATGAACCTGGGCTTCATGAGATCCTCAACACTCCCAACTGAAACTAACATTGGAAAGTCTCCTCCAAGGCCTCTAGTTTTCATCCTTATTCTACCCCAGAGTAACAGGAAGAAATTCACACATGGCAATGGAAGGAATAATCAAAGCAGAAAAGAAACGAATTCAACAGACAATTGCAGAACACATTATTTTATTTTCATGAATAAAAGTAGCACTTGGCAATTGGAAAAAAAGGCAGTTTCCTTGATAAGATACATGTATGATAAAAGTAGCAGGCCTTTTACACACGAAGACAAAGGCCTTACAGAATGCATGTGACTGGGTTCCAACTTTATTAGGACAAGCAGCACAGAAAGTGCTAAGACCTCTGCTGTTAGGAAAGCACAAGACAGGAATGTGACACACATGGCCATCAACCCAGCTCTCGTTCCTACCTCAAGACTGTCCTGAATTCCTAGAAACACTGTCTCTCATGGAGCTCCACCCAGGCTCCAAACTGGAGATGGGGTGCCACAGGTCCTTGGTTCTGGCCAGTTGCCTTTCAATATCTCAATCTTCAAGCAAGTAGTTAGGGTTAACTACTAAGTAGGGATCTTCCTCATAGCTCTCACTTCCGTCGGAGGAGCCTTTCAGTCCAGCCTGGGTAAGTTCAATCAGAACGTGATCCTGTAGAACACAAGTGGTTTGTCCTCAGGTCTCCAGGATTACCTCAGATCTATCAACTCTTCAGAATGTCTGCCACTGATGCATTTTGTTTCCCTACCAAAAGCCCCCCAGACCAGGACCACATCTTAAAACCATTATCAGTTTTCTGATCAACTCTTTTTCTATTAGGATATGGATCTGTTCGTATTTTAAAAAAGATTTATACATAGACGGGCGTGGGTGGCGCACGCCTTTAATCCCAGCACTTGGGAGGCAGAGGCAGGCAGATCTCTGTGAGTTCATGGCCAGCCTGGTCTACACAGTGAGTTCCAGGACAGCTGTGGCTACAGGGAGATCCTGTCTCAAAAAGACCAAAAAACCAAAAAACGAAACAAAACAAAACAAAACCATTTATACTTATTTCAGTGTATGAGTGTTTTGCTTGCATGTATGTGCACCATATACATGACTAATGCTTGCAAAGAGGCCAGAAGAGAGTCAGTCTCCTGGAATTAGTTACAGATGGCTGTGCGATGCCATGTGGGTGCTGGAAAGTGAACTTGGGTAGCCTGCAAGGACAGCAGTTTCTTCAGCCTTCTGAACTTGTTTTATTATAATCTCCTTTAAAAAACTAAGAAATGTAAGCTCAACAAACACTGTAATTTTAGTAAGGTCTCCTGCACACTATATCAAATGCTTGTCAATATAACATCAAAAAAGAAAACATGCTTGGATTTTGAAATTATACAATTGTGGGGCTGGAGAGAGAGCTCAGTGTTTAAGGGCACTTGCTGCTCTTGCTAAGGACCTGGGTTTGGTTCCCCGCACCCACATGTTGGCTAATCTACAACCCTAGTTCCAGGGTTAACTCTGATGACCTACCTTCCACAGGTATTATTAGGGCATGTGCATGGCATATATACATACACACAGGCAAAACACATACATAAAATAAATACTAAAAAAGACTATAAAATTGTGCAAAATTCTCTAAGTCCACTAAATATCATCTGTCAATTTAAAATTACTACCCACGAGAACTTTCCATATACCACCCCTCTTTTTCTTTTCCTTTTTTTAAGACATGGTCTCACTATGTTGCCCAGACTGGCCTGGAACTTATACTTTTCCTGTTCTCAGACCCTTGAGTGCTGGGATTAAAAGTATGTTTCCATGGGCATGGTGGTGCACAACTTTAATCCGAACTCTTGGGGGGCAGAGGAGGGGAATCTCTGAAAGTTCAAGGCCAGCATGGTCTACCTAGTGAGTTCCAGGACAGTTGGGGCTGCAGGGAGACCCTGCTTCAAAAAAAATAAATAAATAAATAAAATAAAGTATGTTCATAGGGCTGGAGAGATAGCTCAGCAATTAAGAGCATTGGCTGTCCTTGCAGAAGACACCCACATGGTGGCTAACAACCTCCTAGAACTCCAGTTCTAGGGGATCTGATGCTCTCTGTGGGCACTGCATGCATGTGCTGAACTTATATACATGTAGGTAAAACACTCACTAAAATAAACAAATTAAATAAATAAGTAAATAAACTCATTCTAGGCCAATCTGAGCTTCATAGTGAGACACTGCCTCTAAACAAAAAGAAATCTAAGCATAATGCATCTGGAAATTTTCTCTCTAAACAAATAAAAATATAGAACATGCCATCTTTCCTCTCTTCCCCCACCCCCAAGCAAACCAAGGCTCAGGTTTTGACAAGATAGAAAAGGTGACAGAACAAGAAAGATTACTGGTTGGCAAAGTTGGGAATGAACAGACAATGGCTGATACTGGGAGGTTGGCCATGGGCTTATCACATGGCCAGACATGACTACAGTTGATGGGGTAAAAACAAAAGGTTAAAAGCACCCAAACAGGATGGATACAGTACAGTGGTAGAACTTGCCTAGTATATACAAGGCCCTGGGTTCAATTCCTAAGCACAAAAACAAAACAAAACCAAACAAACAAAAAAAACCTCCCCCAAAACCCCAAACAAACAACCAACCAACAAAAAGGCCACCCAAACACTAATATCCCAAAATTACTTTCTCAGATTTCACCTAAATTCTGCTTTTTTTTAAAGAAAAGAAGTCCCTCCCTTGATGTTAATTCTCTTTAACTCACAATTGTGATGATATCCCAACAGCTCAAAAGAAAATGCATCAAAAAGTCTACTTTGGAACCCAAAGATATGTAAGATACACGCTCCCTCCCCTCCTTATCTTGGAGTGAGGCACCAAATACGTACGTAGTGTGTGAGTCGATGAATGACTTTCTCTATGATCCGCTTTTTATTTATGAGTTCCTCTTCAGAGTCTATTTCTGACTCGATTTCCTTCAAGTACCAGTTAACAAGCTCACTCCTCTTTAATGCTGACTCATCCTCCTCTGCAACAAAAAACACATTTTATTGAAAAGGATTTACCTATAGCATGCTGTACTGCTGGTTAGATACTTGTCAACCATCAGGAAAGGGAACCCACTGAAATCAGTTCTGCTGGGATCCTGCACAGGCCCGAAATAATCTGTCATACCACTTTTATTAAAGTGCACCTTGAGCTGGCCAGATGGCTCAAAAGCTAAAGGTGCTTCCCACCAAGCCCAATGATCTGAGTTTGATTCCCGAAACTCACAAGGTAGGAGAGCATCAACGCCTGAAAGGTGACCATCATATAAGCATCATGGCACAAACACACACTACTAACAGATAAAAAGGAAAAAAAAAAAAAAAAATCCCCAAAACAAAAAACTTAGTTTTGATTCTAGAAACTGCTAATAAAATGTAAAATTAAAACGGGAAAATTCTTGGATGGAGGCTGGGGGTGAAGCATGAACTTAGCATGCACAAGTACCATACATACACTCAAATTTATGTCCTAAAGGTCATTTCACTACCTTACTGCCTTCCACTGGTCTATTTCCCAGAATAATCAGGACAGAAACTGTATGAATAAACCCTTAGTAAGGTAATGTCTAATACAGACTGGAATCTTAGATGAAGCTTAGAAAAATACCATAATCGTTCTAGGAATTTAAAAATAAGAATTAACTACATACAAGGCTGGAGAGATGGTTCACTGGTCAAGAGAGCTTATTGCGGTTGTCAACTGGCACTCCTGGTAAGAGGGAACTTCTTTGATGAAGCACTACCTCATCAAAATGACCAGTGGTCTGTGAGGCATGCCCTCCAACTCTCTTAATGAGATACGACCTCTCAGTAGGCTCACCTGGCGTAGATCTCACAGAGATCTGCTTGCCTCTGATTCCAAGTGCTAGGAATAAAGGTGTATGCTACCATGCTGGCCCTTTCTTTGGTTTTTTTGAGACAGGGCCTGTGTTGCCCTGACTGGCCTGGCTCGCTAAGCCACATTCACCCTTCCATTCCCCCCCCCCCCCCCCCCCCCCCCCCCGTTCTGGGATTAAAGGCAAGCACCACCAAACCTAGCTGTGAGGCATTTTCTTAATTGCATCGGGGTTGTGGGGAGGGGGTTGCTCAGCCCAGCCCCATAGTGGGCAGTGGTAACCCTGGCAGATGGTCCTAGGTTGTATAAGAAAACAGGGTGAGCACAGGACAGAGGGGGCAAGCCAGCAAGCAGTATTCTTAGGTGGTCTGTGTTTCCCTGCCTCCAGGTTCCTGCTCTGATTTCCCTCAAGGATGAACTATGATCTGATATGTAAGTCAATAAACCCTTCCTCCAAACTTGGTTTTAGTCAGTGTTTTATCATAGCAATAGAAAGCAAATTAGAACAACTGGACAAAGGATTCAATAGTCAAAAACACTGTTATTCCTGGAGACGTGAGATAGGTTCCTAGCACCCATATGGTAGTTAACAACTGTCCCTAACTCTAGTTCCAGGGAATCCAACAACTTCTGGCCTCTGTAGGCACTGCACACGCATGGTACAAGTATAACTTTTTTTTTGAGATAGGGTCTCCTTGTAGCCTCAGTTGGCTAGGAGCTCAGAATGTAGACCAGGCTGGTCTCAAACTCACAGCCTGCCTCTGCCTCCCACGTGCTGGAATTAAAGGCATGCACCCCTACACTCGGCTTCTGCAAAACATTTATAAATTCTATATATGATCAGATCTCAAGATTCTGCTTCAAAATCACACAAATAAGTTAAAGACATGAATAAGAACATTCTTAAACTTTTGATAATGAGCTTATGGGGAAATGTCCTGGTTGGCAGGCTGTGCTGATACTTCCTTTACTTTGCTAAAGTGAGCCCACATGACAAGAAATCATCTAACAAAACACAATGTTAGCAGACATGGCAGAAACATAGTTTATATGAATAATAGCACATACTAATTATGGGGCACAGCCTCACCTTCTTCCATCTTCCTGAGATGGAGCACAATGAGGTTAGAGATTCTGCAGTACTCAGCGAAGCCCAACCTCAGAGAGGGCCTGGAAACAGACTCCTGATTGGCATCCTCACTGTAGCCGTTGATCCCATTCACAGGGGCAGGGCTGTCAGCATGACCTAAGGAAGAAGTAACCACCTGAATGAATCTTATGCTTGTGCCTTCAACATTCTCTCATCAAGTATTCACACAGGTGCTGCTTATGCTTAATACAAACCCATATATAGCATATAGGGGCTGGAGAGTTGGCTCAGTTAAGAGCACTTGCTGCTCTTGTGGAGGACCCATGTTCGGTTCCCAGCACCCACAAGCAAGGCAGCTAACAACTGTAACTCCAGTTTTAGAGAAACACCCTCTTCTGGCCTCTGAGACACTGCACACATGTGGTACATTTACAAACATGCAGGCTAAACACACATAAAAAAAAAATAACCAATCATTTTATAAATAAATGTAGAACAAATTAAAATTCTACTAGTGAAGACAACTGACTTGGGAGGAACATTAGGAAGGGGGGAGGGCAGAAATTTCACTGAAACCATTTGCATGGTGGCACAAACATATCTGTATACACAGGAGGCTGGAACAGAAGACTGAATTTAGGCTAGCATAGGCTACCTACCTAGGGAAACCTTTCCACTCCGCTCCCAGTTAATTTATAGTATAATGAACAAAACAAAACAAAAATTCTGGTTAGCTTCCAATGTGATTGAGAAACTCTTAATTTTTTTTTTTAACTTATTATTGTGTATGTATGGAGGTCATCAGACAACTATGTGGAGTCATCTCTCTCCTTCCACCTTTATGTAGCTTCTAGGTATTGACTCAGGTCGCCAGGCTTGTGCAGCAAGTGCCTTTATCTGCTGAGTCATCTCACTGACCTGATAGGGGAAAAATTATTATTTTTTGCATGTGTGAGCATATATATGCTGTATAGTATGCTACAGAACATATGTGGTGACAAGAGGACAACTTCGTGAATTCAGTTCTCTCTCAGTGTACCTTTATGGTACACTGGATTGAACTGGGTCACTAGGCTTGCATGCAAACATATTTACTCACTGAATCATTTGCTGGCCCAAGAAAACACTACTTTAAAAAAAAAAATTATGTGCTAGGCATGGTGGCACACGCCTTTAATCCTAGCACTCAGGAGGCAGAGGCAGGAGGAGCTGTGTGAGTTCCAGGCTAGCTGTGGCTACAGGGAGGCCATGTCTCAAAAAAAAATAAAAAATAAAAAAATTGTATGAGTGTCTTGGTTATACGTATGTATGTGCACCTGTGTCATGGAATACCCAGAGAGGCCAGAAGAGGTGTTAGACCCCCTGAAACTGGAGTTACAGACAACTGTGAGCAGCCTTGTGGGTGCTGGGAACCAAACTCACAAATCCTGGTCCTCTCCAAGAACAGCCAGTGCTTTTAACTGCTGAGCCATCTCTCTAGCCCTGAAAACACCTTTTATTTTATGTGTATGTATGAGTGCCTCTATGTATGTACATGTACCTCCTGTGTGCCTGGTGTCCACAGAGGCCAGAAGAGGGTATTAGATCCGTTGGAACTGGAGTTACACACAGTGGTGAGCCTCTATGCGGGTGCTGGGAACAAGAGCAAGTGCTCTTAACTGTGGAACCATTTCTACAGCCAAGAAAATCAGAATTTAACTGTACTTTAACTTACAGATAATATAATTCACCTACCCATTTTCCTTCCCCCTTTGAGTATATATACTTCACAACTATCAATAAATACGTGTCCAATGTCCTTATCCATGTACTAGCAACCGCCTTACCATTGATCCCATCTGGCCCCTCATCTGTTTCCATCTGGGTCTCCTCCTCTTGATCTAGATTGACATCAGGTGTTTCTACCCGGATGATTGATTTATTCAGTAACCGAAAAGCTTCCTTCACATGTTTAGGGTGGACCTAAACCAGTAATGAGATACTTTAGGTACATAAGGCATTTTTTACCAAACAGTTAAAAACATACCCCAATACAGCTATAAATTCACTAGAATGATGAAAATGGCTGAAAATACCATGTATTGGTAAGAATGAAAAACAACTTGCACCTATTGCAGGCAGATACAAATTGATACAAGGCAAGTGTTTTCTTTCTTTTTAAATAAAGACACTTCAAAAAGATTCATTTATGTGCATGTGTCTGTGAAACTAGAAGGGGGCACTGGATACTGGAGCTGGAGTTACAGCACCATTTTCCTTTCTGGCATGCTGAGAATTGAATAAAGGGCTTAATGAAAGCACTCCATCACTGAGCTACACCCATCCCCAGGCTTTGTTTTATTTGCTCTCCCCGCACTAAACCTTGTTTCAATAAATAAAAAATATTCATGGCTTAGATTTTAAATCACATTTACAGATAAGGGAAACCTCTAGACTCATTCACTATCAGCAAAGCTAGAGCTGCTGGAGGAATGCAAGCCCCACATGTACCTTATACTCAAAGAGCATGGATGGCATCTAGATTAGACACCTGGAGCAGAGAGAGACAGGTCCTCAGTGAAGGCCAGGCAGCCCCATCTGAAACCTCACCTTCCTGCTTCAGAACTAGTACTGAGGTGAAGGATATCACATGAGCTGGCTTCTTACTTACCACACTGGGTAGCCTTTCTACTGTTAACATTAGGCCCAGAGCATTAGTTACAGATTACCACAGAACAGAACAGAAAGAAGAGGGTGCACAGACAATTTTGCTTCTTCACAAGTACAGCAGTGGATGAACTGCACCTCCAAAGGCTCAGTCCAAAATTCCCTGTTGGCATTTGTACCAAACAAGGCTCCCTGTACTTCCAGTATCATCTGCTGGGCTATATCCAGTCAGCTTTCTAGGATGTTGGAAACCTTTATTTTGCGATCCCCACTATAGATTTCAACTCCACCAGTCATCTCTTCAGGCAGGCAAGCCTCCAGATCAATTTGTATACCAACATCTTTTTTGGCGGCAATTTTATACATAGGAATTGCTTTTTGTACTGCAGCCTTCACCAGAGGGAAATCTTGTTTTCTGTAACAATTATTCGAGGCTCAAACAGCTGGTACAAGCCCTGGAGGACTAGCCCATCCAGCAGAACTTGGTACCTGGTCTTTTACTGCCTTGTTGAGTCTGTTTTGCCTCATTTAGCAGATCACTGACAAGATCATCTCCTGCTCGGAGGATTTTGAGTCTTGCTTGATTCATCAAATTGGACATTTGAATTTTCTTCTGCTGCTCAATCTGCTTTTGTTTCTTCTCATAATACTCCATAATTTTTAGTCTTTGGGTTTGCACAAGACAACTCGTTTTTTGTTGTTGTTTTTTTAAAAAATATTTTATTTATTTTTTTAAAATTTTATGTGTGTATTGCCTGCATGTAGGTAGGTGCACCCGTGTTATGCAATGCCTGCGGAGGTCCGAAGAGGCTGTTGGATCCCCCGGGACTGGAGTTATGGACAGTTGTTAGCTGCCATGTGGGTGCTGAGATTCGAACCCGGGTCTTCTGCAAGAACAGTGTTCTTAACCGCTAAGCCATCTCTCCAGCCCCTAGACAACTGTTTTGAATGCTGAACTCTTCTGCCTTTGCATCTATTTCTTCTGCTTTCTCACTGGCTTTTTGTTCAATGAAAGCCATCATGTGCTTAATCTGCTTCTGCACGTCAGCATTGCTGAACACCATGATGAAGGCAGCACTAGGTAGCTTCGCAGCTAGCCAGAGCTGAGGTGTAAAGCTATTTATTTGCCTTTTTTGTTGTTGTTGAAACAAGAGTCTGCCTGCAGTCCCATCTGTCCTGGAACTCAGTATATATAGACCAGGATAGCCTTGAATTCAGAGGTCCCCCTGCCTCTGCCTCCCAAGTGCTGGGATTAAAGGTGTGCACCACCATGCCTGGCCTTAACTTAAAAAAAAAAAAAAAATTATTTTTTTATTTTACATGTATGAGCGTATTGCCTGCATGTGTGTAAGTGCGTACATGTGGTTCAATGCCTGTGGAGGTCAGAAGAGGGTGTTGGATCCCCTGGAACTGGAGCTATGGACAGTTGTTAGCTGCCATGTGGGTCCTGGGAACTGAACCTGGGTCCTATGCAAGAGTAGTCAGTGCTCTTAACTATTGAACCATCTCTCCAGTCCTTTAACTTCTAATATAAATTAGTTACACAATCCTGCTTTGTTTGAAGCAGAGATGGGTGGCTTTTGCAAGGCCTTTACTTCTCATTACTCTGACATTTGCTTGTGAAACCACAGGGCTCAAAGAACAATTTAAAACCCATGAAGCAGAGGTCAGTGGTCAAATGTACTTAGCATGCACAGTAACAAAACAATTAACAAAATCCCCCCCATCCATTCATTATACAAACCACAAGGAGGAAGGCTCCTTCTGAGGCTAGGGGTTACATGACCACACTTGTATCCCCAGCCCAGAGGCCTAGGACATTACAGAGATTAAATACATTTTTCCTGGATAAATGATTACTCACCTTTATCTGCACACTATTAATTATAAATGTAATTATATGTTACTGTTAACCTAACTAATACACTTGATAAATGTTTGACAGCAACCTTGCTATAGGAAAAATCATCTCTGGGTCAGGCATCCTGTGAGCATATGAAAGTAATTATCTAAAAATAAATCTCAACTGATTTCAGGATGTTCCCTAAGATAAAAATAGCCCATAAGCCAACTTATGCATTTCTCTGTCCCCAAATTTTTGAGGGATGCTGGTACCTCGTCACAGCAGTGCATACGGGCCATGGCTTCGGAGAGGCGGATCATGCTTTCGAGCTGCCGCACAGTGATTCTCCATGAGGATTTCGTGACTCCAGAGCCATCCCTCTGGCGGAGGCGTTTGTACTGTTCCACAATGAAGTCCTCAGACTCTTTGGAAATCTGTTTCAAAACCAGTGAAGTCAGAGAGACATCTCTATTGGACAGGAGCTACATCAAACCTCAGTTTGTGAGGAACTCAGAGCTGAACCTTTTTTTTTGTCTTTTTGAAGCAGTGTCTCCCTGTAGCCCCAGCTGTCCTGGAACTCACTATGTAGGCCAGGTTAGCCTTGAACTCACAGAGATCCACCTGCCTCTGCCTCCCAAGTGCTGGGACTACAGGCATGCACTACCATGCCTGGCTGAGAGTTGAAACTTTGAAGCTACCACGAAGATTACTACAGAAATCAACACTAACATTGTAAATTCTATGTACTAATTTCATGAACAAGAAGATAATAGATTTAGTATTTAAGCAAATGCCCATTTCTAAATGATGCTTAGCAAGCTAAGCAGTGGAATAAAAGGCAATGCTTTATACACCTCAAATGGCAAAGGCTCATTAAACAAATTAACTTTCAAGCTATCATTGCAGCTCAGTTAATGAACTCATACTGGCTTGGAAGAGGGGGGGGGTTTGGTTTTTCAGAGCAAGGAAACTTAGCCTATTAAGTTAGAGTTCCAAGGCCACAGAAGGATGTTATCAGTACATACTGCTGACCAACACATGCTCTTCACCCAAGTTATGCTTCTTAGTTGTTTTATGAGACAGGATCTTACTATAATTAAACTTTTAAAGCCTGAGATTAAAGTGGTCTCAGTGGGTTAAAAAACAAAGAGTCCATGAAATTGGGAGTGGGTATAGAAGTTGGAGGAAGAATGGGGGTGGATTTGATCAAAACAATTCTAAACAATATATTTTATGTGTATGAGTGTATTGTCTGCATGTATGTGAGTGCATTCATATCGTGCAATGCTGCAGAGGTCAGAAGAGGTCTTTGGATTCCCCTAGAACTGGAGTTAAGGGTGGTTCATAGCTGCCATGTGGGTGCTGGGAATTGAACCCAGGTCCTCTGCAAGAGCAGTCAGTGCTCTTAACCGCTGAGCCATCTCTCCAGCCCCCTAAACAATATACATATTTTTAATTAAGGAGGAAAGATGACTCAGCAGTTAAGAGCACTGGCTGTAGAGGACCTGGATTTGGTTCCCAGCACCCATAGTGGCTAACGACTATCTGTAACTCCAGTTCCAGGGGAACTGATGTCCTCCTCTGGCCTCTGTGGGCACTGCATGCATGCATGGCTGCACTTACATGCAGGGAAAACACTCATAAACATAAACAAACAAAATAACCAGTTAAAATAATAGTAATCAAAATTAAGATTAAAAAACAAAGGAGGCAGAGGCAGGTAGATCTTTGAGGCAGAGGCAGGTAGATCTTTGGTCTACATAAAGAATTCTAGGTCAGCTAGAGCCACATATGAGATAGTCTCACTCCCCACCTCCCAAAAAACCCCCAAACAAAACACAAATACAGCCAAGCAGCACATTCCTATAAAACCCGCAATGAAGAAGCTGAAGCAGCATTTTGAGTCTGAGGCCAGCAGCCTGGGTTACACAGTGAAATCCTGTCTCAAAAGAACAAAACCAAGTACAGGTTCATTAATTTCCATGTAACGCATTTACTTAGGTCTGATTTAATATATACACTATGCCTTATCCAGGTACAAAAGGGCAGATTACCTTGGGTTTAAACTGTCGTGCAAAGAGAAGATACCTCCTGATATCATCAAGGGAGTAAACACGGTCGATTGATTCCTCTATTCTTGAATGTAAGTCCACTATACGCCTGGCAATAGCATAATCTGTCACCTAATTCAAAATAAGATAACACCTATCAGTCACAGCAGTATCTACTCCCAACTACCCCAAGCCCGTAAGAGATGGTTTATGGCTAGAGATGACCTCTTAGCTGGGAGCGCTGCATGCCTCTAATCCAGCACTGGGGAGAGGGGAGGCAGGAAGTTCAATCAACATCAGCCTTGACTACATTAATAAGTTCAAGGCCACCCTGCACTACATGAAATTCTGTCTCAAAACAAACAAACAAACAAACAAACAAACAAAAAAGACAAAAATAACCTCTAGTATGCTTCTGAAAGAAGTTAGTAGGTATCAAGTTTCTGAGGAAAGTTTTCACAATTGATTTTTTAAAAATATTTTATTTATTATTTTTATTTTATGTGTAATATTTTATTTATTATTTTTATGTGTATGTGTGTTGTGCCTGTATGCATGTAAGTACACCTGTGTCAGAAGAGTGTGTCAGATCCCCTGGAGTTAAAAGGGTTCGTAGCTGCCATTGTGGGTGCTGGGAATTGAACCTGGGCCCTCTGCAAGAGCAGTCAGTGCTCTTAACCGCTGAGCCATCTCTCCAGCCCTGTCACAATTGACTTTTTTTACAATCAAATTTTAAAATGTTTATCTTTGTTGCACCTTAAAAATATACCTGGAACAAACTGACATTAGTAACCACTTATGGTATGAAAGTAGAAAGAGGGACCATTTTTGAGAAGGAGGGAACTCACTAAGAGGGAATAGGGAGCACAGGGTTCAGTGACCAACTAGAGCAAGGTACAGTAACACATACCATAAAATGCCATGATGAAACCCATTGCTTCCATGTGTTAACTTAAAATTACGAAGGAACAACTATAGCACAACAGTGTTCTTATTACATGGTACTGTTATCTCAAATATGTCTAGAAGTACTAACACAGGCAATCCTTACAAAAACTTCATAAAGCAGGGCCAGGCATGGTAGTGCACACCTTTAATTCCAGCACTTGGGAGGTAGAAGCAGGTGGATCTCTGTGAGTTCAAGGCCAGCCTGATCTATACCAGGGAGACCCTGTTTCAAAAAGACCAAGAAAACATAAACAAAAAAAGCTTCATAAAGTAGGTATTAATAAATGTCCTGTAACTGTGGTAAGTCCTTTTGTTCAGGGAGGCCATGGAGACCCCACGAGATGGACCTGAACCAGTGTCCAGTCTACAAAGAGGGTCAACTCAGAGGGAACATCTCATTCATGCTTCCAAGTGAAGCCAGACATGGTCAGGCAGGACCTTTGACTTATCTTCACATAGATGGAACTGATAAAAGAAAGGAGCCAGGAGCTCCAGCCAAGTTCATGTGACCCCTGAGGAACAGATCCTCAAATGACCTTAAGTGTAAAAATAAATTGATTTACTTGGGCCAACTGTATGGTCTTAAACACCCAAAAGGAAAGTATAACCAAAGAGTAAAGTCATCAGTATATTTCTTTAGAGCTTAAGGGACTACACTTCCCAGAAACTA